CGCGGGCACCGGGGTGGTGGGGGCTGCGAGGTCGTGGGGTCGCCCCCGGCCGGTTGCTTCACCGAGCTGGGTACGCCGGCGTGTTGCAAGAAGGGGGACCAAAAGAAAGTTGTCCGTGTTCTTCTCTAGTCCCGTGTGGTTGCAGGAAGCCAGGCCGGGAGATCCGCCCCCAGCTGCGAGGGCTGCGGCCGAGCTCTGGGGCGCACAGCGCGGGGAGGGGGTCTCTGCTCGCGAGGCTAGTTTTGTGCAATTATTTAGGTCGCTGGAAGGCTGAGTGGGGACAAACGAAAAGATCTTTTCATATGCACTTTTAAAAAATAATAACCGGGAGGAAAGACGAGGGTAAGGGAGTGTACAGGCACTTCCCGGGTGCCCGTGGCGTTCAACGCTAAGCAGAAGCCAAATTTCAACTGAGAAAGTACCAACATATACTTCACCCCTGGACCCCTGCAAATGGCTATTTTTAAAAGTAGCTCAATCTGTTACAGTTTAAAGAATCCATCTAATTTCTCACCACTGACTGAATGAAATTGGCTTTACAGAGGAGGGGGTAAAAAGCAGCACTATGGGAGCTATGGCAAGAGGATCACAAGTTCTAGCACAGCCTTGGCAATTTAGCCAGACCCTGTCTAAATTAAAAAAAAAAAAAAAAAAAAAAAAGGATGGGATGTATCTCAGTGTGAAGGCCCTAGGTTCAAACCCCAGGGCAGCTAAAAACAAACCTGTGCCCTTCCTGGCCAGAAAAGCCCCCTTAGTATCTGCCCTTAGCTGATCTAGGCAATTTGTCTGTTAGGCCAGCTCTGGCCCTCCTGCGATGAGCTCCTGCCACATTGTATGGTTAAGGGTCTATTACAGACCAAGACTAGAGGGCTGGAATCTTAGCACTGGGCCTAGCCCGAAGTCCATGATGGCAGTTCCCAGAGAAATGTAGCATCTCTGTCAACAAACACTACCAGGAGCCTACCATGTGCTATGTAGAGTCCGTGATGACAATGCCCCTGCTCTCATGGAGCTTACCAGAACCACAGCAATGGCAACTACAGTATAAATTTTAAACTCTAACGAATGTTCAGAAAATGCCTCTCTAACAAGGTAGCAGGAAAAAAGGAGACTGAGCCATACAGATACCGCCTTGGCTATGGGATCTGAAGGCGAAAGATAGGCACTCTACCCCAGGAAGCTGTAGGAGTTATATGTTAGTGAATGAAAACATGCTTTCTGCACAGGAAAGCCATTGTGAAAGCATGAGAGGTTTATCACCCTCCACTGACCCTGCCCCACCTACACTGTGCCTCCTGCGAGGTGCTCATCTGTGTCATCCAAGGGACCCTGCTCCAGGAAGGAAAGTGATTCAGCAAACTAAAGGAAGAACTTTGTAAGGAAACGCGCACAACTACTCTTCCCTGGCAAAGGGAAGTGCTGAGAAATCCATTTAGAGAGGCACTTTCTAAAAAATTAATAAATAAACAGCCATCCACCTTCTCTTTGTTAGTAACTTCATAGCTTGGTCATGGAATTGGAAGGCCTGAGGAAGGAGCCAGATGGAGATAGCAAGCTGCTGAAGATAGGGACCTGGACGGAGGTCACTTGCTTGAGTGCACTGGTTGCAAAACATGGGCTTTTGAAGCATAAGCCACCAAGGAGGAAATTCTTCCTTTTTCAACTGCCTCTGGAGAGTCGTTGACTTGGAGCAAATATGGCACCTACTGGCTTGGACTAAACTCTGTGAGCCTCAGAACACACTCCCCCACAAAGCATCCAGAACATAACACCAAGCACTGAGACTCATTTCAAAAAGGTTTTCCTTCCTGTAGGCTAGAAATAAATCCAGACTTTGATTTTTGCATTTATTCTATTTTTCCCTATCTATTCCAAGTTGTCACATATCACCTCCAGTAAGCTGGTAGCTCTCATCTTCTATGTGACATACAGAAAATAATAAATATGAACTGTAATTAAAAGCATAACTGCCTTAACTCTGGGAAGCCTTGGGTTCCAGGGTTCCCGAGATTTCTCTCCTAATATCTGCTGGTCACCTTGGGCCTGAGTGCCACCCCTGTACCAGGAGTGAGTGTGTCAAAATGACTATACAGAGCCCTCTGGGTTGGAGCAGACTGCTGTATAAATTCAGCAATGCAGATGCAAGGAATAAAGATTACTACAACAAGCTAAGCCAGCAGTGATGGTAAACAGCTGGGGATTTCTTTCTTGACTGAATTCGCCAGAAAGTACAAACTGCTACCATCAATTGCTGTTTCAGTTTCATTTGAAGATTATGTTATGTATCTCCTCCTCCCCTGCCTCATCCGGCCAAGAATGAAATATGTGAACAATGAGATATTGTGCTGTGGTTAGTATATACCTCCTCAGCCCGGGCTGCAATTAGAATTTCAAAGGTTCACACCTCAACCCACCATTTCTGGGGTTCATGGACCATAATCCTCTTTAAATTTGAAACCATGCCCCAGTGCAAACCATCTGTACCTCTCAATTTCTCACATACCCTGAAAACCATTTCTGGGTATCTGAAAGCAAAAAGAGTCTGATGTGAACAAACTTAAATGTGAATTTCTTTGCATGGACCTCCCCCAGAAATATATATAATACTTTCTAGGGCAGGAAACACACACACACACACACTTGTGCACACAGCTCCCAGCTTTATATAAAGCAAGTATAGTCTTTGTTATCATCATTACAATCCCCCTCAAAGACTGTTCGGCACTCTTATCACTCTCATCCTGTTCACTACTGCTCACAGGGGCGAGACGGTGGTCCTGGCGGGATGCTCTTTGTCTCCTTGAATAGAGCTGGCAAGAACAGTGGTGGGTTATTCAGTGGTGACCGCAGTCCTGACTCCACTGTCACCAGGGAGTTGGCTCTGGCTCACATTTCCAGTTGCAGCCCTCACTCTCCCATCTGCCTTATAAACAAGTGGCACAATGGCAAGATGACTGACAACCAACCAGAGGTGGGAGTGGGGGTGGGGAGCCAGGGGTGTTCCCTGAGCCCAAGAAACCAGAGAAGCCACAATGCAAGCCAGCAACAGCATTCATCAGCGCCTCTCTGTGCCTTTATGGGACAAGGTAGTGGGGAAGAAGACGAAGAGAAAATGCTTGTTATGCGAACCTGGATTTGAATCTACTCTGTCACTCATTAGCCCTATTTTCCCATTTGCAAAATGAGGGTCATAGGCAATAATGAAGCCCGGTTTCAAGTTATGTGAAATGAAATGAGAAGATGTGGATTAAGATGGTGATGCACAGTGAATAGTCACCAATGTGAATTTCCTTTGACCTCTTTTTTATGTGAAATATGACTACAGTACATCTCTTTTTATTCCACAACTCACACATCTATAAATTAGTCACCTGGAGGAAGGAAGAAAAAGGGGAATTATTTCCCAGAGTTGGGATTTGGGATGTGGGAATAAACAGTCTTACGAGACCTTACTTATTCTCTTTATGAGAATACTTACTCTCTTTTGTGAGAACAGACCCATTAGTGATAGCTTTGGATTCTGGAAGTAAATAAACAGTATCTAGAGTCAAGCAGGATAAATGCCAATCAGAATAGGAAGACAGTTGAGATGGTGAAGTCCCTCTCTTCACAAAACATAGCTCTTGGAAAGAAGGATACTGTATGGCTTGTGTGTAGATGTCCCCCAAAGCTCCATGCAATCATAGAGGAGGCTTTTTCAAAGGTAGCAGAATTTAGAGTGTGTGATTGATTCATGGTGCAATGCTAGGATTAAGGGTGCTAGGGTTAAGGGTAGGTGATTACTAAATCAGCCCAGTGATTGGTTTGGCACCACCCTAATCCCAGTAGACTGGATACAATATAAGAGACAAAAAGAGGCTTTTCTTGTCTCTTGCTTGCTTTGCTATCTTCTGCTGCCACGAACTGCTTCTCCTCTGTGATGCCCCCTCTGCTATCCACCCTTACTTGTAGCCTGCTGACTATGGACTGAAACCTCCACAAACTGTGAACTAAATAAACCTTTTCCCTTTAACTTTGGGTGTCAGGTATTTTTGTCTCAGCAACAAAAAAGAAGTAACTAAGACAGATACCGTGAGCTAAGCAACTTCCGTGGAATAGAACAAAGCATTGATTTTGTAAGAGCATGAGTTAGAAAGATGGGCTCACATCACTGCTACTTAGCAATTATTAGCCCTTGTTAAAGTAATGTACTCTTCTAAGTCTCAGTCACATCTATAAAAGGTGGACAGTGATAGTACCTTCCTATATCTTAGTGTTCTGAAGATTCAGTGAGCTAAGGGATATAAAGTACTTAGAGGGGTCTTTGACATCCTAATTAGGTATTGTTATGATCAATTTATATCGGAAGATATAAATTATGATACTTCTGCAAAAACATTCACCCTGACCTGCTATGCACCAGGAATTTTGCCCACATTCCCTTCTTT